TCAGTTGGCATTCTACAGTACAAGATCCAAAATGACTAGCAGTTTGAAGGATTGATTTCCTCAGAATCAATTTAACGCCTAACATGACAAGTGGTACCTGAGCTTTTAGAATTCGAGAATGCCTTGACCTATTTTACCAATAAAAACAAAAAATTTCTACATAAACTAAAAAACCTAAATTGGGAACAATAACCGTATGCAAATAAGACAAATTGTTATAAGAAGGTCGGAACATGAGCAAAAAGGAAATTGTCAACAATCAACAGGCTTACATGTCCGTGTGGCTCGATCTGCCAAATGCGAGCGGTTTGATCAACCGAACCGGAGGCGAGCTTCGTGCCAATGCAATTCCAAGCCACTGAATGCACCTTTTAAAATACACCAAGACAATTAAAAAATAGTACTAAGTTCGATTCCTCAAATTGGGTTCTTCCACTGAATAACGAAAGAAGATGAAGTGAATGGAGGGGTGTGTGTGTGTGTGTGTGTGTGTGTGTGTGAGAGAGAGAGAGAGAGAGAACCTTCTTCTTGTGGCCTTGGTATTCTCTGCTGTGTAGGTTTTTGAAGGGTATAGTTTCCTCCATCATCGCCTTCTTCTTTCTGTTGTTCGCAAATGCTTCCAGATGAACCGAGGGCGCCATAATATGTTCACTTTCCCAAGGCCCAATCATATTTCAGCCCAATTCAATATTTGGGCTGGACAGTCTGAGATTGCGTTATTGTTCAATCCAATATGAACACCAAATTAGCAAGTCAAATTAGAATTAAACATTAATAACTCTATTATTATTATTATACAATAAACCCGTCTAATTCGTATTCTATGCAAAAAAGTTTTATATTGAACATGTTTAGGACGTTAAACATACAGAAGAATGTGATTAGAGGTGACAATTTTAATCCATTATCCATTAATTCGTTCATAAATTAATAGGTTGAGTACTTATATTAATTAATATGAGTTCTAAATTAGTTGAGTAATATCATTCATTTTAATTAAGCAGATTAATATGGATTACAAATGGATACCCATTGAATTGAATATTTATCTTTTTATTAAATAACACAAGTAATAAAATTAAATAAATATACTAATATACGAAAAAATACACACACTATTACACTATATATATATATATACATTAATACATCAAAATATACACACACTAATACACCAAAAACACACATTAATACACTATTCATGACCACGGATCAACCCATGACCCACATGTTGACTCGCGACACATAGTCTGTGGGTCAACCCATGACCCACAATTCATAACTTGACCCATGACTCATGGGTTGACCCACATCTCACAATCACCTTGACCCATTATTTATATATTTTTTTTATTAAATATATTTTAGTTTTTGTGTTAGTATATGTGTGTGTATTTTTGGTGTATTAGTGTGTATATTTTTAGTGTATTAATTTGTGTGTGTTTTAGTAAATTAGTGTGTGTGTGTATATTTATATTTTGGTATATTACTAATGTGTGTGTGTGTGTTTTGATGTACTAATGTGTCTATTAAAAGTTTTAATTATTTTATGAGTTAATCGGTTTAACTCAACCCGTTATAACCCATTTACTACATGAGTAAAAATTATATTGAATTTATTTTAGTCCAATCTAATTTAACCCAACCCATAACTAACTCAATCCACCCATTTGCCACCTCTAGATGTGATTGAAACAAGATAAAAAGTTCAGAGATTAAATTTAGATAATTTAAAGTTCATGAACTAATTTAAAACAATATACAGAGTTTAAGGATCATTTATATTTTTTACCCGATATTCGAACCACTTGTTATTGAGTGTTGAACTCAAACACAACAAACGATTAATTAAAGGGACCACAATAGGAACAAATTGGTAAAAGCATAATGTCAATTATCTACAAAAAAATATAAAGAATTATCAGTGTGTGTAACATTTTAAAAGTCTATACTATCGGGTGGATGATGCATTTTGCAAACGTAACGTATAATTGACTATAATATAAAGATAGTCCAAGAGGGTTACTCGCAAAACATCATAATCCACAACATAATAATTGACTTAATCAATTAGTAAGTTGAATCAGCTTCCGAAATAAGTGGATGGACATGGAGAGATGTAGTTTTCTAATGAATATGGAAAAAATAGCATCCCAACTACCAATAGCATATACCTGCAAGTAAAATATTATTTAATTAAATAAAATAATGTCTATAATAAAAATGCATCAAAATGTGATTTAATAATTTAATGGAAAAGTTCAGTACCGTATAAAAAATTATAACTTTTTTGAGACGTAAGTTATAACTTTTAAAAGACATGATCAATTATAAAAGGTATGATCCATATTGAAAGACTATGGTTGATCATGATTGTCTGTAATAGATCATTATTTTCTATTGAATAGTAATACATTTTTTTCGGGAGAATTGTAGACTTTCCCATAATTTTAATGACCTGTATTAGTTGAAGGAGGCAACTTTATTAATTGACAGTGGACAAGCATTATTGATGAGGCTCAAATAACCGCTCCTTATGGCACCTTTCGTTGAGGGCCACCATGCTTATCACAAAAATAGAAGGTTATAATTTTATTATAAGGATAAATTACATTCACAACATTTGGTTTTATTACACGGATACTCTCGTGTTTCAAAAATTGTACTAAGACCCCAGTAGTTAAATGGAGTTAACTATCTTTATAAAGACTATTCTACCCCTCCATTTAACCCAAACTCAAACCTAAACCTCAAGTCATATCCCTAACCCCAACCCTAAACTTCACAGTAGCCACACGACAAAGAATCAATACCAGAACCCCAGGGATTGCTCCAAAATCAACATTAGTGAGGTTGTGTTCGACATGACCTTGAACAAGCATGCCATAATTGAGAGTCCAAGCTTTTCTCTACCACCTCCAGTTTTCCTTATTTTATTTGTTAAATGCGATTGTTGCAATAGCTCGCTTGAGTATAGTAATGAACAATGCTTTCACTTATCACAAACTAGAAAAAATAGCCTTAGTTTTGTGAGGCAACTGAGATTCGAGCAACAAAAGAACCATCGAAAGTATGTCTTTAGCAAAGCGGAGCAGGAAGGGGAAGAGAGAGAGGGAGTAAATTAGTCCCAATAATTACAAACTCTCAACAACTTTGTTGATTTTTTTCTTCAAAAAAAACCGTAAAACATCAAGTCTATATAGATTTCTCTCGTTATATATAAATGCTTCAATACTTGCCATTCATTTCCGTTCAATTTATGCGCGTACACTCTTCACTGTTAGATCTCACTATGTGTTTTGCTCACACATCCAAACAAATTGTACAGTCTTCTTCACAAAGTACCTATGAAACTTGAGAACAATATATGATATTCAACACTGAAAAATGTGGTGGGGTTTTGCTGGACTATGGTGGTGGTGTGTGTGTTTTGGTGGTTGTGAAGATGAAAGTGGAGATGGAGGTGGTGGGGTTACTCTATTATTGGGCATGGGCAATGCTTTATGCATGCGTGTGAAGAGAGAGAGTGAGAGAGAGAGAGGAGGAGGAGGAGGAGGAGGTGGTGGTTTCCGTGGTGTGGAGACAGCGATAGAGGGAGGTTAACTGTGATGGTGGTAATGGTCGATTTGGGACAAATCTAATTGATAAATGGAATTTATATTAATATGTTGTATAAAAAACAAAAAATTATAATATTTAACTTATTAATTTGATAGATTGTAAAACATAAAATAGAGAAATGATAAATAAGAGATGAGATAAATTATGGGGTAAGAAGAATAAATATTTGAATTTTTAAACTTAATTTTAAAGGGTATTTTTGATATTTTAAAAATTATTATCAATGACATTAGTTTTGACTATGAACCATTCTAATGTTTATTAGTTGGAAGGGGTGTGGTTACTATAAGTTTTAAATGTCTAGGGAATTCTATGTAATTTTTGAAATATTAGGGGTGTTTTTAATAATAAAACCAAATGTTAGGGGGTGTAACTGTAATTTACCCTTATTGTTGTAATGTAAAATAATTTTTGGGTAAAAATCATTCGAACCCCCTAAGTTTTGTCTTAATGACATGGACACCCCTCACATTTTATTAATTACAGTGACACCCCTTATCATAAACGGAGTTAAGAGAAGTTGTGCAATGACAAGAATAACCCCTATTTTACTGAATTATAATATTGCTAGTCAAACCACAATGTATAAAATGACATAAATATCCATCTGATTAACAAAATCCTAAAAAATCAAAACTTTTCTACAACCCGTTGTTTGCCACACACACACACACACAAAGAAATTCAATTTCTCTGGCCTAGAATAGGTTAAATCTGGTATGTAAAACCCCAAATTAAGTGAGAATCATAGATTCGATTCAAACCTCTAGCCCCCAGTAGATTGTAGATTCGATTCAAACCCTAAATTTCATTTTTAGAATCAGTCATTGTGTGTGTTTGAATCTAAGCATGTTCAGAACCCCAATTTATCCTAGATCTAACCCTTGCTCACACCTTTTCAAATGTTTTATGTAACCCTGGTTATAAGTGTCTAAGCTTTGATGAATGAAAATTTTTCATGAGCGAGTCTAAATTCTTGTAGTCATAGGAATCATAAGCGACACCTACAAGTTGAAACTAACTCATGACTATTGGAGAATGATGAGCGTTGATTCTCTTGCAACCATTGGTAAGTATAATGTCTTTTATGCAATGTTTTTTTTCGTTTATTGATTTTTTGGTTTGATGTAAAATTGTAGTTGGGTTTTGTTTTTGAAATTTGGGTTGAATTAATCAGGTTCTAAAAAAAAATGGGTGAATTTGAGCATGATATAGTTGTCCATAGTGGTGATACCATTGTGACAATTTATGGAATAAACCCAGATGAGTGCTGTCATATGAATTTGGTAGTCGATATTGACAAAATATTACTTGGTGGTATACAAAAAAATTTAGTGACATATAAAATCACTGTAAATAGGGCACATGGTGATAGGAGAATGACAGTTGATGATGATAAATGTTTAGTGAATGTGTTTAATATGTATAAGAGCAATAGAGAGATACATATTTTTGTTGATGTTGCGAATGAAAACAGGGAAGTTGATAATATGGTTGCAAGTAAAAATGAAAACAGGGAGACTGATAATGTGGAAACACGTGTTATAAATGCAGAATCTGATGTTGGAAATGTGGAAACAGATGTTGTAAATGTTCAGTTTGAGGTTGGAAATGAGGAAACTGATATGGGAGATAATGATAAGGAGAACGATGAATATGGTTTTAGTTATGAGGATAAGAATTGGAGAGGCGATGATGATGTTCCTTATTCTAGGAATGATTGCCAATATGTTGGGCCAATTAGCACATGTAAAGAGTGGGATGCAAGTAGTGATGGCTTCTCAGATTATCAATCTGGGAATGAAGGTGGTAGGAGTAGTAGTGATTCTGATAATGTAGAGATTATGAATGGTGATAGCAAGCGAAAGAGAAAATCCAAAGTGTATGATACATTTGAATATGAAACTGAGTTTCTTGTTGAGAATGGTGGAAACTCTGATTGGAATTTATGTAAGGGGATGTTCTTTGAGAATGTTGATCTTTTTAGGGATGCTTTAAGAGACTATATCATTAAAAAAGGGATCAAAGTGATTAGGAAGAAGAATGAGAGGGCTAGAGTCACAGTGCATTGTGTTGTTGCAAGGTGCAAATGGAGGATCTATGCATCACTTCTCTGGATCAGGCTACTTTTAAGGTGAAGAGTTACAAAAGTGAGCATAACTGTATTAGGTATAAGAAGGTGGTTGAGGCAAACAACACCTGGGTTGCAAAACAGTTATGGAGGGTCATCAAGAACAATCCAAATATAACATTGGAGAGTATGCAATCTGAATTGAATGATCGATGGAAAATTAAAAGTAATGCTATAAGGCTATATAGGGCAAAAATGAGGGCTATGGAAGAAATAGAGAGTAATCATCATTGGACATTTGAGTTACTACCAGCATATGTTAGACAAGTTTTGAAAAGTACCCCTAGTTCTGTTGCACTTATTGATTACTTTAAGTCTTCAGTGAGTATTAATCTCATTTTCAAGAGATTTTTCATTGCATTTGGTGCCATGAAGAAGGGGTTTAGAGACGATTGTAGTACTTTTATTGGTGTTGATGGTTGCCACCTCAAAGGGTCATATGGTGGGGTCCTTGTAGCTGCAATAGCACTGGATGAGAATAAAGGATTATTCCCAGTGGCATATGGAATCGTTGAAAGTGAGAGAACGGAGAGCTGGGAGTGGTTTCTAGAGAATCTGCATGCAGTTATTGGTGCTGGGGACAGGTCCCAACCATGGACCTTTATGTCTAACAATCATATGGTAATCTATGTTTATATGTTAATGATTTTTATTATTCTGTTTTTGTTTCTGTTAATGATTTTTATTATTCTGCTTATGCTTTTGTTAATTATTCTTATTATTTTGTTTCTATTTTTGTTAATAATTCTTATTATTTTGTTTTTATTGTTGTTATGAACATAAGAACTTGATAAAGTGTTTGAGAAGATTTTCCCAGGAGCTAAGCATAGGAGATGTTGTGTGCATTGCTTCAATAATTTCAAATCCAAGTTCCCTAGGCCTTTACTTAAAAAAATTTTTTGGAGGGCTGCTAGGGCCTATAATGTGGTAGGGTTTAGAGACAACATGGAGTTAATGAAATTACATGACTCTAATGCTTATAATTGGCTTATGAAAGTCCATGTACATACATGAGTTAAGCATACATTTGATGAATCTGTTAAAAGTGACCACATAACCAATAACATGTGTGAATCATTTAACAACTGGATGAGACTACATAGGCATAAGCCAATACTCACTATTTTGGAAGGAATTAGATGCAAGTTAATGGTGAGATTTCAAAAAAGGTACCACAAAGGATGTGCACGAGAGGAATTAGTCACCAAAAACATTACGATACAATTGAAAAAGTGGTTCAGGACAGTATGAAGTGTCTTATATTATTTGCTAGGAACTTGGAATTTGACATAAGTCGTGAGGGAACCTGATATCCAGTCAATTTGGCAACTGAGATGTGCTCTTGTAGACAATGACAGATTTTTGGGATCCCTTACAATCACACAACAGCTGCAATAGGATCCCAAAGAGGAAATATTGAGAAGTAATGTCACAGAAGTTACACCAAAGAGACTTATTTGCTTGTTCATGGAGATATGATCCATCTAATTGTGGACCAGATGATGTGGGATCCAGTGGCAAAACCTCTATAACCTCCACCCCTGCATTGGCTACCTGGAAGGCCTAGAATCATCAGAAATAGAGGTATAGATGAGCCAACAATTGGTACAAGTTGCATAAGGAGGTCCCAAACAATAAGGTGCCAAATTTGCTTACAACTTGGGCATAACAAAAGAACATGTCAAATAGCATCGGTTAAAGCAAAGGGCAAGAATGGTGGTGTGACCAATAGTAGTCAGGTAAATAACATCCTACAAATTTTATTGGAATACAATTGATGTATTTTCTAATTGTCTTCTATTATGTAGTGCAACGAAGGACCAACAACATCACAAACATCCCTTGGATCACAAAGTCATTCTAATGCCTCACATACAACTTCTCAAATAAACATAGTTGAAAGTACGACTGCAATGGAGGGAGGGGTAAAGGGATGTGGCAGGGGTGCTCAATCAACTGGAGTTTAGAGCCTTGGGGGAGTATAGATGTGCATATGTTAGGGCACATGTTATTTTGGTCTAGGACAAGTATATATTAGATGTGCAGATGTTAGGGCACATGTTATTTTTTGTGGGACAGGTATATAGTAGATGTGCATATGGTAGGACACATGTTATTTTTGTCTAGAATACAGAATATAAGCATTTTCATTGAAACAATCCAGTTATATAATACCTTTTTGTCACTGCCTAGTTCTATATGAAATATTACACCATTTTGTCATTTGAGTTGAACATGAAATACATAGATACATGATGAAGTACAGGTTCTTGCATAATCAAAATATTAGAACAACACAACTTATAACTTGCTAATTAATAGCATCATAAGGATTATGATGAGGAAAAACATAATGATCAATGCAATGACCAAGATCTTCATCACAGTAGGGTTGCCATCCATCACAACAACCCTTGTATTAGGGAAAGGATAGTCTAAGTCTGAACTACCAAATATTGGTCTTATTCCATGACATTCATTTGGTCGCCTAACATTGCCATAAGGATTGCTGAAGTTTCCCTCGGGATGGCACCAAGCAAAAAATTCGCAACCGCCTTTGTCACATGTGAAGTATAATTTTCCTTTACTTGGTTTTTCTGACTTGACAATTTTGATAACAACTTTCTTCCGACAGTTGCATTGCTTTCCCGATGAATCTTAAATCAGGCTTCTCATGTCCATCACTTGTACCACCAGCTCTACTTGTATATGAGAAATACATTTTTCTTCCTAAGTTGGCACAAAGTAAAATAATATTGACAAAAATAATATGTACATTTGTGGATTTCACTAACCCCCTTCAGTTATGTCAATATAACACACAAACCCCCTCTGATTTTATATGTTGTCACAAGCAAATCCATAATAGGTAGAGCTTTGGACAGTTTAAGACAATGATGTTGGGTGTTTGAACGTAATGGAGGGGGGAGAGAGAGATACCATAAGTGATGGAATAAAAACATCACAAAGCTTCATATCAAAGCATTGTAGATGAATTATATAGTAAAATTACAGGAAAATAATTGGGAGAGAGAAAGAGTACTTACACAAGTTTTTTAAGTTCTTCACTCAGTGGGTTTCAAAGCTCTTCACGCAGTGGAAATGGAAGTGAGTTGTGCTATGTTTTTAAAGTGCATTGAGGGATCTAATAGTCTTTTTATTATATATATTTTGAAAAAATTCTAATATATAATACTTAATCTTACTAATGAGGGCTAATTTTAGAATTACAAGAGTTTTTTAAGGTGATGTCACCCTTTTCCATTTTAATTATTGACGGCCATGAAAAGGGAGGGGTGTCCGTGTAACGAGTTTCAAATGTGAAGGAGTGTCTCACTATAATTAATAAAATATGAGGGGGGTGTCCATGCCATTAAGACAAAACTCGGAGGTTCGAATGATTATTACCCAATATTTCTTTTCCTTTCAAAAAATATAATACGTGAAAAGTTTTTTTTTTTTTTTTTAAATTATCTCTTATCCAGCAACCTATTACGTGACTAGCAGCTCCGTCGTATGTGGTACATACATGAAAACAACTCCCTGTCGAAAGGTACAGTAGAGCACTGTTCGTGTGTCTTGACCATTGGACCTTCAATAAATACACGGAGGCTTACATTAGGTTTTGTTCCACCGACGCTGATTTATCTAGAGAGAGAGAGAGCCTGTGTGCTTCGACGCCGGTCGGTGGGTAGCTGTGTGAGTCAGTCTGGCCGGGATCTGACGCCGATATCGCCGGAAAACATGTCTTCCGGCAGGTACATGGCGTACTCACCCTCGCCCTCCGCTCCTCACTCTCCTCACCTCGGCGGCCTTCTCTCCGCCTCCACCGCCATCGTTGAGCAAGAAAAGTATGCTCTCGCCTACAGATATTGCTCAATTCACCGTGTTTTTTTGGTAGTTGATTGGTGTGGTGACGAGACCTTGGAAATATATGGGTCAATTTGTTATGAGTCTTTAAGTTTTGTTATTTTTGATTGCTGTGGCTTCTAATTCTCTAGCTTATCTTAGCGATTGTTTCTTTATCTAAACTGAGTTTGGGTTCGTGCACTTCTGTGTTGAAATTGATCTGATTTTATGTTTCAATCTGACTTTTTTTAGCTAGTTTACTTCTGATCAGTTTTTTTTTTTTTCTCAGGAGTGCGAATAGCAGAATGATAGGAGTTTTAAGTTTTTTGGGTCAAAAGTTGTTCTTTATCTACGTTTAAGTATTGCATGCCGCTATAATTGGGGGATATGTGTTTATTATTGTTCTATTGTTTGCTATTCATTCTTTCATTGGTATCATATAGGAGAGCTATTGGCTGAGAATTTAGGATACTGGATCAGCTACATTGTATGGTAGTGTAATCAAATGCATTTCGTATGGAAATATAATTACTTTTCATTTACTTCTGATGGCATTTTGGCTTTGATATGAATGGTATGTTGTCCATTAGGTGGATTTTGAAGATAAATGTTATATGCAAAACAGTTCTTATAATAAATGCCAAAATGGTAACTTTGCTCTGATGATGTAAGATTAGTCCTAGTATTTGGAAGTGACACTGACTGCTTCAAAATCATGCAATCAGTGACGGTAGCATTAGATTTGTACCATCAATATAGTGAAGCCGTTCGTCATCTGCATGAGATGTAAACACATGCCTTGTAGTCATGATGTCATCATCTCAAGTTTGCAGTCTATAAGGGAAAAACAGCTTTTTGTAATGACTTTCATAAAGTAATCATTGGTGACTCAAATGGGCTGTTCAAATTTAATTTTTTGTAGCTATAATTAGATTATTTATGGTGGTTGTTGCAGCTACTGATGTTAGTGGTCATATGGAACTGTTACATCACCAGTTTTCTGAGTGTATTGATTCCATAGGTGCTTGCTTGTGGACTTCACAGACTCTAATAGGTTTAATTGCTTAATGACAGGTATCTCTCTGAGTTATTGGCAGAGCGTCACAAACTCAGTCCATTTGTGCCTGTGCTTTCTCATATCTATCGGTTGCTGAATCAGGGTGAGTTCAGAAACCTTTACGTTATTTCATGTGTCACGAATAAATGTGGTAATGGCCATAGTAATTTTCGTATAAAATGAACATCAAATGAAAAGAAAAGAGAAGTAGGTGATTTTAATTGCCACCTTAAAGAGGAGAAAACTAGAAAATAGATGAGGTTAGATACATACTCCCGAGGATCAGAGGAGGATGAAGAATCTTTCCTTCCTTATTCCATAAATGATCGAGTCATAATGGCATAGAACTTAAAAAAGGAGAATAAAAAAAATTTAGCCTCTTGGCTTGTTCTTTTAGCCATCCCCTTTAATTTCGTAGCTGTAGGTCAACATATTTAGGTCCGCATATTTTCCTCATTTGATGCTTCAGATTTATTGACTTACCGTGACTGGTGGTTGGTTATTGTGAGTTCAAAAAGATGTGTAAATTGTAAATGATGACCCCCACCTTTTATGTGCAACTTGTTAAAACAGAGGTAGAACATTGATATTATTGGGAAAAGAGGACCTAGTCATGTACTTTAGCTTTAGCATCTGATCATGGGAGTTGTACAATTAACTTATGTAATGCAACACTCTGTTTCCCTCTCTTTTGTCTACCCACCTCTTGTTTGTCTTGTTATTCTTTCAACTTCCATTTTTTGAGCAACTACAAGTCCTTCTGGACTTCAGACTGGCTAACTGTCAAATCTCATCTCATTGAGCGCTATCGTTATTCAGCTTCATTTATACCACTGTATCTACAAGATAAAGAAGATTTCTAGCTAGTTTGGTTTGATGTGTTACGTTCTGAAACTGACGTAATTTGGCTTCAAGGTGAATGTTACATTGTGGAGAATGCCACTGAGATTTTTAGGGAGTAAGATAGTAGGGTGGTATCTTCACCTTGCGCAGATATGGCTTAGTTAGAAAGGTTAGGGTTTTAGTGTAGTATCCAGGGGAATGTTAAATTGTGGAGAATGCCACTGAGATTTTTAAGGAGTAAGATAGTAGAGTGGTATTGTCACCTTGTGCATATATGGTTTAGTTAGAAAGGTTAGGGTTTTAGTGTAGTGTCCAGCCTTTAAGTTCTCCTCCACTTTCCTTTCTTATTGTCAGACCATGACCATCGCTAACTTACCTTCTTGTTTTTATACTGGGATTTGCATGGACTCACTATATATTTCCTGCATTTAATAGGCTGAAATTGAGTGGCTTATGTAGGAAGCGCGAAAATGAACAATGCTATGCATTGGCTATAAAATTACTCAATAAATTAGAATAAGGATGGATTGGGAGCTGGCCATGTGGAATGATTCATCAATATCTAAAGGTTATGGAATGACTTAGCAAATAAATATAACAAATGTAACTTTAGGTAACTAGAAGAAGGAAAGAGTATGACTGAAAGCCCATGAATAGGGGATAGCCAAAAGTGATCCGTGCCAGAATTTTTTGTTGAAGTGGAGATTTATTAATTGAAAATGCATCCGGGGGTGGAATTTTGTTAGATGGCTTCATGGCTAGTTCTGCTATTTAGTGAAAAGGTTGGGAAGTCAAACATGTTTAAAGAGTGATTGTGGTCAACTGAGGATGCTAAGTTGAGCAGATGACAATATAAGGAGGAGATGTTTTTTTCGATAGGAATATAAGGGGGGATATTGAGAAGCACGTGGTCGCTAATTGAAAATTACTTATCCATGTCATGGATTGGTGGACAAAAGGGAGACAAGAAAGAATATGGATACAGCTGATGAGAAAATACAAAAGTCAACTTTCTGGGGTTTGTTCTCTCTTGAAGTTAGAGATGAGTGTGTTGGTTGGATTTAGGGCTGTTTTTCATGCAGGTATTTGGGGCTTGGATTCTCTTCAAGTTGAGGTGATTACCAAAAGCATATATCTATCCTCATCTTTTTTGGGTGATGTAGTGTGCTCCAAGGCTTCAAGAAAAATGTGTATTCCAAATTTTTTGAGACTATTGGCTACCTGATAGCCCCAACTTATGTGTCTGTCAAAGTTACTTCTTGTAAAATGGGTAATATGAATGTACTTCATGGAAGAAATAAACCGAAACTCTCTGTTCTTTATGTATTGTCTAAGAGGGCCAGCAGCCTATTATACATTTCTGGCTGAGGATGAAGTTTGTGGGCATTTTGGTTCACCAGGGGCTAAATGCCGACGGGATCTAAAAATATTTATAAAGCTGTCAATATTAGGGGTCCTTTGTATGTTTCCTTTTGGATTGATTTCTTACATATTTTAATGCGTCATAATAGTTTCTTCTTAAAATGCATCCTGGAGTTCTAGCTGGCAGTTCATATTTTCCACTTATGAGCTAATATGTTTCAATTAGGCGATTGCTGTTAAGCAATTTGTTGTAAAGTGAGATCCAAAATAGTAGTCCAGAATATGAAAAGAAGGGAGGAATACTCAAGGATCTGTAGAAAACAGAAAGGAAGGATATTGGTTAGAGTCTTGAGGATTTTGATGATTCTGTTTGAGCCAGAAATTGGCGCTTTCTTTCTTGATTTTTGGAAGCTAAAGAATGATCACGTATAACCTTTTCCTGTTGGTTAGCAAATTCATATGCCAACTTCCTAGAAGTGCCTAAACTAGAGAGGTATATTGGCTTGGTGTTTCTTCTTTTCCTCTGATGTTTTTCCTTTGGTTTTCTCTCCTGTAGAAAATTCCTTTTGTTCCCCACTATTTTTATTTCCGAATTGTTTTCTTGTTATTAATGGGTAACAATTTACCTAGATGTTTGAAATTAAGTTAAAGTTGTTATTATTGTTTAATATAGTGGGAATGTAATTGAATTGAGTTAAAGAGAGGCGAGGGAGTGACCCAGTGGTAAGGGTTCATTTACTGTCCACAGGTGGTTGTTGTTTCAAACCTCATCCCCTTTCCCCTGACCCTGCCGAAGGGGACAAAAAAAGAGAACTGAGTTAAAGGCTATGATTTTTAAAACTATAACTTCAGTGATTTCTTTTATTGATGGGCTTTAGGAGGATTGAACTCAACTAAATCATCTTTCTCTTTCCTTCCAGGACATATTCTCCTAAGATATAGTTACGTTGAGGAAGCATTGATTTTTAACTTACCGAGTAAACTGTCCGTGTTGTCCATCCATATTGTGGTGACTGCTAACTAGTTTCTTAACCAATGCTAACTGGTACATCTTATTCTTGAAAATTGACCTTTTTGGAGCAGAAATATTGCGTGTAACCACATTGTTGGGGAATGCATCAGTTTTAGATCAAAGTGGGCTTGAACATGCTAGCCCCCTGGCTTCAGGAGGACTATTTTCAAATGGAGGAGCTAATGTGAACAGATGGGCTGCACAGTTTCATTCAGAAGTACGGATACTAATCATTAACATGACTTCTATAATCTAATTTTTACTGTTTTCAGAAGCATTCCTGACATAATATTTTTTCTATTCTTGCTAACTTGATTGTTTTTGAATGCTTTTTTTTGAAGTTTCACTTCTGTTATGACTGATAGGTTGAAGCTAACAACTTCAAGAATGATAAGTAGATTGGTTGAGAATCCCTTGTCTGAATTTACTTACTTATGGCTATAGTTCCCAGTATTATTGTCAGTGTAAAACTACGTTCATCACATGATGCATAATATTATAAATTCTTCCTGGATAGGAAATCAGTACTCTTTGAGTGGAAGGAGTAAATGTGAGGTATTGAACTGGGACTTCTCCAACATCTGGGCGAAGACTGGAGGAGGCTTGTTTTTCTTATATATTCATGCTGACTATTTATTGTTTTTTGCCTTACTGTAGGAGACTAAATGTGAAAACTCAATTTTATGGGTTTTTGTGTTCTAAGTTCTAACATACTTCAACTTATTATTCTGTTTAAACAGCTTTTGAGGATGCTCTCATTTCTTGCAAAAGAACCTCATGACACCTGCTGGTTGTTGAAATGCCTCGAGCATTCTAGTTTCAATACTCTGATTTCAGATCTCTTAGGATTCAAGTAAATTCAAGATCATCTCTGATTATCCTTGATTATCAAAGTGTGTGTGATGTTAGATGTTATGCCTATTGAGGTGCACCTATTTACTTTCACTGGTTTCTTTTGTATTTGTATGTTAACTTTTTCAGTTGTTCATGTTTTCTTTTCCTTGAAATTTTATTGTGGGAGATTAGTAATTTAGGATCTAAGTGCGAGATATAGGTCACAAACAGTATGCCAGTTTTCTTATGTAGCAGAAATTAATTAAAAAAAAGGGGAAAGGAATGAAAGGCAAAGTATGGCATTGCCTTCATCACTTTTGTAATTTTTAACAATGTTTGAACTCTGAATTTTATGTTCAGATCTCAGGTTTGAGGCAGCCCTCATCTGCGCAAAACTGGCTTGGTTCTCAAGGTAGCTCCTCTGGTCTTATAGTGAAAAGAACGATCAGGGTTGATATTCCAGTGGACCAATTTCCTAATGTATGAATTGTTTTCATGTTCTGGTGTGCCTTTTTGTGTTGTAGTTTTGCTGCATTTAATTTTGCAATTCATTTTGCCAACTTCTTGTTGCAGTTTAATTTCGTTGGGCGCCTCCTTGGTCCTAGAGGGAATTCTCTCAAGCGCGTGGAAGCTAGTACCGAGTGCCGTGTTCTGATCAGAGGACATGGTAGTATCAAGGATCCTGCCAAGGTACTGATGAAATCATCTTTCATCTGTTGTTTATTGTATACGATGGCATTTTTTCTGACACAATAATTCATGGAGATGAGGTAGGGGAGCAGATTGGGAAAGTTCATATTTTACATTCATCCTGTGTAGCATCTTATTTCATTTTTCATTTCTTCACATTTTATGCCCTGTTCTTCTTTTTTCCGGGAATGTTGGTTGTTTTTTATTTTCTTGGTTTTTCTATCTTCTTTTAGATGGGGGGATTGAGTTTGGACTTATCATGGGATGTGAATTGCTTGACTGGCAGCATTAGTAATGAATTACCAATTAAAAAAGTTAAAGCTTAGTTTTTCCATCACTTCCTCACTTCTTCTCATCACTAGCAAAAGGAGTGATTGTTATTGATATGCTGAGACAACATAGAAATTCCTCAAACGATACTATCTAGCAGTGATTGTGCTTGTAAAAATCTTTTGAAATGGCAGCCAGATGTTGAAAGAGAAATTAATGTAGACACCCATACCAGAAGAAACATTGTACATATACCTAACTGGGAGGAAAAGGGGGGTTTGGTTGCGGCTTCCTTCGTTAAGGATATGCGTGATTGTTTTGTTTTTCAAAAATTTTCCTCCCAAATTTTTTCTCTGAACCAATTTTCTGAAAAGCATTATCATCATGTTTGTTATTTATAATTTGAAGGAAGAGATGATGAGAGGAAAACCAGGGTATGAGCACCTGAATGAACCCCTTCATGTACTTGTTGAGGCAGAATTGCCGGTTGAGATAGTGGATGCTCGTCTAATGCAAGCTCGTGAGATACTCGAGGATTTGCTCAAGCCCATGGTATAGTTTTTTCCTTCCTTGCCTAGGAATGGAGCTGTTGATTTGCCAACTGTTATTACTTGGTTTGGTCGGAAATACTCATATTCTTATTGTCTGTAATTTTCCCTTTTGTCAATTTGCAGGATGAATTTCAGGATTTTTATAAGAAACAGCAGCTACGGGAGCTTGCAATGCTCAATGGTACATTCCGTGAGGAAGGTTCACAAATGTCTGGTTCTGTGTCCCCCTTCCACAATAACCTTGGTATGAAGAGGGCCAAGACTAGGGTGTGATGATTGATGAATCCCCATGATTAGTGGGCTTTTGGAGCTTATTTGGTGGGTCTATTATGCCATTAGACAGCAGTTCTCACGGGACAGGTGTTGCTATGCCAACCAATGCCTCCAACTGCTATCGGAGCACTGGCATGATTATGTGCCAGTTCTAACATATTTTATATGATACGAGGTGTGTTTATTACTACGGGAAGGTTTAGTTGCAGTCCCGTAGGAAAGACAATTCGAGGCTTGGGGTTTGATGAAGTTTGTTTCTATTGCCACATAGATTGGCTCTTGTATTACTGGATTCATTGGAAGCTTGTGAGTTGTGATGGGAGTTTTGCTACAGTGGGGATTTCTGTGGGGATGTAAGGTATGATATGTATATGTGAGTGAGGCGAATAGAGGTCTACCCTGTTGCTTTCTTGTCTTGTCATCTGGTTGGAGTTTTTGTACTTCGAAGTGTAGTAAAGCTACTTTAGACCTGTAATGAAGGTATTTGTTTTTCTGCTTGATCCTTTAATAACATTGCCTTTTGAATGCAATTGGAAAATTATTCTGTTGCGACTTGGACAGGGCATGGAATCAGTAGACTCACTCTCACTGTATTTGCTGATGTATGCTTCATACATCTCGAACTGGATTGACGTCTTCAAACCACTGTAAGAAACTTAGTTGTATTTTGAGGACAGAATGTTGTTAGATTCTTCTTACTACTTACTTTCCTCATGTTTATGTTCCCAGTAAGATGCCAAGTTAATAGTCCTCTCAGTGTTGCATTGCAACAGCTTGGGCATTTAATCATTGTAACTTGATGCTTGAAAAGATTGCCTTTAATCCAACTCTCATTGTAAATGATGTATCCCTTGGCCTTGAGCATCTTTATTGGCTGGGAATCAATGAAGGACCACCATTTTCTGAAAAATAAGTGTTCCATGGGGACAAAAACTGCTTTGCATTCTTAAATGCAAAGATTTGTGCTGCGACCACCACCTGTCATGGTGCTTCTTCAATCTCAATCTAAGCTTTATGAGTGAGATTCTTTCTGATATATATTTTTTAATTTCTTTTCTTGGCTAATATTGGAATTCAAGTAAGACACGTATGGGTGTGGATTCTCTCTCACCAATACAAGGGGTGTGATTTAGTAACGAGGAAAGTAGAGGATACAATATTGGAGGGATTTGGATTCTACACTTTTTTACGCATGAAATTGTAATTAGGGGTGTCAGCTCGGATCTCCGTTAATATGATCTCCGTTAATATGAACTCGACATGAACAATTATAAAATTAACACGATTATTAAATACGCATAATAAATAATTTAGACTAATATTTAATATTCAGAGCACATTAAATAGATTTTTCTTTTTTATGAGTTTTGACAAAAATAACACGATATGTGAGTCACACGAATACGACACGATTGACACCCCTAATTACGACACTAACCAGTACTTGTCGGCGCAATATTTTTTCCCTATTTTTGCTAATCATTTTGTTGCTTGTCCTATATTAAAATTATTAAGCATGTAATTAATATTAATCTTGGTTGATTCTAATGATATTTATCATTAACCTATTAAAAAAGTAAAAAATGATGCATTAGATCAACAAATAAGTTAGATAATATGTGTGAATGTCATGTACAACTATTACCTATATTTCTAGTAACAATCGTTAAAAAATAAGAGAGATCACTTTGCTTTAGGAAATGAATAAAATCCTATATTGAATGTCCTAAACTTCAATACATCTTAGCCTACTTGATTGCATTTCAATGACTGTTCATTCTTTTTAATTTCAATACAGAAAATAGTCACTAAGATGTCCTGATCGCAGTCCATCCCCACTCATTGTTCGACCTTCGTAATTCTCCACCCTCAATTTGTTTAGTTGCGTGATAGTTGTTTTAATCGGTTGTTTCATATTTTACTATATGTTTTTTTTTACGAGGCTTGTCTTTTTGGTTTGAACAGAAAAACAAGAGTTATGTTAGGTAATTGAAAATCAACATAATATTTGGTTAGATCCATTTTACATATGAATCTTAAAAGCACACACATGGGGATGTATGATTCATTTATTATTTTTTTTTAATTTTAATTAAGCGGAAGTATAAATACATGGGTGAATTGAACTCTATACCTTAAGAGATTTTAAAATATTTAATTTGTATTTTTTATTATTATTTTTCTCACATTAAACCTCAATGTTATAAAATGATTGTAATGTTATCCTCACACTAACTTATGTTATCATTGTCATCAAATCTCACAATAGTTAGTACGAGGCTCGCATAACAAATTTGACAAAAATTATAACAGAAGTTAAAGTGAAAATTCATATACTATAACTATTTTATGACATTGAGAGTAAGAATGCCAAAATATGATACGACTTGCGAACACAACAAAAAAATAGAGAGTTTGGATCTTACTTAAATCACTTGCTTCATAAATAAGTGGACTTGATACGATATGATTAATAAACGAATTACGTATGAGTGAAATTAATCAAAAAAAATACATGATACGACTCGTTTATATACTGGTTATATATAATTCATTCACGACGCAAATTTCGATATTACACGACTTGTTAGACACAAATTAATAAACGAATTGGGTATGAGTGAATTATTTTTTGACATGAACTTGCTAATACCCAATATGACACCCAACATGATTAACAGGCTTAATTGAGAGTGTAATGTAAAAATTTTAAATATTAAAAGTATAAATTGAGAATTTTAAAATCTTTCAAGGTTCAAAGTGTAATTCGCCCCTAAATACAATTTAAAAATGAATCTTCATGTCATTAGAGGCCAATTAATAAGAAGCGTAATTGAAAAAATAAGGGCACGTGCATGTCATGAACTCACAATCGAATCGATCGCCATAAGGACACGGGCGGTGCGCTCAAAGTCTTATATAATGTGTCCAATGGTATTGTATGGTCTTATACAAGTTCTGTACATCGGACTCGGGATAGGTTCGTAAACTGAAGAAGAAGCAAACCCTAGCGACTCGATTCACTCGGTAAGAGTTTCTTTCTCCTCCTTTATGCATGCTTATGATAGGGAAACTCTATATCTGTTGATTGATCGGTCTAAAATCTCTGTTTGCTATGAGATTCGCCCGGACGTTTTATGAATGTTAAAGCTTTAAAATTTTTCATGTTTCTTATGTACAGATCGTTATGATGTACGTTTCTAGGTTTGATTCTGAATTTTGAATATGTTGTGACGAAGAATTTTGGCTTTTTTTTTTTTTTTTTTATTTGGGGTTTCGTCTTTACTTTTTTTTGGGTTTGTTTGGTTGTTGAGAGAGAACATTTTCAGGGTTTTTTTTTTGGACCCGCAGCATAACAATATAATCTTTGTCTGAACGAATAGAAAACAAGGATTTGTAATCCCTTGGGGAATGTCTGATATTTTTATGGTGGTTGTTTGTGCTTGAATATGTATCTTCTGCTTGTGTGTGGATTTTGAGGAGTGTGGTTATTAATTTGGTCTTGGAATCACGAAGATTTTCGGTCTATATCATTAAGAGTTTGTTAGTGTGCCTTACTATGGTATGCAGTTGGAAAAAGACTGGATAAGTTGACTTCATATGCACTTGCAATTTTTTTTTTTTTTGCTTTGTTCATTTTATAGGGCGATCAATTTAGAAACCAATACATGATGAGAAGAATGTTTGTTTGTTCATATAAAAATGTTTCTGGCTTCCTGATTTCTGTTGGAATCTTGCAGATGTAATGTTTTATTGAATTTTGGGAGGACAAATTGTAACACTGTTTATATTACCGGTTTATAGGAGTATAATTAGATAATTATTGGATACATTATGTGTTCTCTACTTGGGGGAATTGAAGAGGTATTGTAGATTCGTGGTTGGGCACTTGAGTTCTCAACATTTAGACTTTCTGATGAAAGATTTATTTTGCTTCTTTTCCTTTTTTTCTCAATTTTGATAATTGATGGTGCCCTTGTTGTAATGTATGGTGTGTTTGGTTATTGGTGAATTATTTGATTGATCTGGATTTTCCTTGCTGTGAGATTCTGTGCAGCTGCTTCAGCGTCTAGGAAACTGCAATGGCTTCAAAGAGGATTCAGAAGGAGTTGAAGGATTTGCAAAAGGACCCTCCTGCTTCTTGCAGTGCTGGTTAGTTAATTCTACATTTGGAAACTGGCTTAAAATGCTTGAAAGAAAAGTGCCCTCCATTTCCTCAAATTTACAAAGAAATTTCTTTGAGATTCGAACAACACCCCCCCCCCCCCAAAAAAAAAAAACAAAAAAAAAATATTGAGGTTCATTCAATTATCCTTAGTGTGAGGCTTCTTTAGCTTGTCTAAAGACAGTTAATTGATATTTTTTGCTTGATGATCAAAATTCAAAATGTCAATAAGTTAGTCAAAACTGCTATAATATTTTTCAAAGTTGTAATGGTTTTGTAGCTGCTGGGACTATATGGAATCCTAAAGTCCAAATTGTATGAGAAAATAATTGAGTGCTACATGTTTATTTTCCTTGAACACCCTGTACGTTATTCTGGTAATGATTCATAATTTAATTTTGCATTTTTGAAGGCCCTGTTGGTGAAGACATGTTCCATTGGCAAGCAACGATTATGGGTCCATCAGACAGCCCTTTTGCCGGGGGAGTTTTTCTTGTGTCGATTCATTTCCCTCCAGATTACCCCTTCAAGCCTCCGAAGGTAACGATTTACCTTGTTTATGCTGATTTATGCTACGACTTTTTTGGGTCATCTCTGCCTATAAGCTGATAAACTACCAATTACCTAACCAAAAGTTGATAATGACATGATCACCATCATCTCACTTACTGTTTTGTGCATTTACATTCACAATAAATTGTATAGGAGAAGTTATATCAATGTAAAATGTTGTAGCCAAATCTAATACAGAGGATGTAAGGTGTGAGTGTGAATGATGATGTTGGGACAAACTAGTGCATTTAATTGATTAATTTTATATTCAGAGTATGTTTTGAGACAAAGTAGTGCATTAGTCTGTCAAACTACTGAAGTAGGGGAGTGGAGAAATTGCATATACCAAGTTGGTTGCCCTTAACAATGATCCAAGCTGCTTATCACAAAGTTTGGAAGTTTAAAAGGCAGCAAACAAGTGTGTATTTCACTATTTTGTTTGGCCGGCGAAATCGTATCTGTAATCACAGATGTTGCTGAAGTCGAAGTTTGTATTTTTACTCGCACAATAAATAGGGGTATTTCTGTGATTTGATTTATGTTCAGTACTTGAAGGTATCTGGATTCTAGTAGATGTTTGTTATGTACTGGCAGGTTGCCTTTAAAACCAAAGTTTTCCATCCAAACATTAACAGCAATGGTAGCATCTGCCTTGACATTCTGAAAGAGCAGTGGAGCCCTGCACTTACAATATCCAAGGTAATTTGCAGCATTCTTCTTGGCTCTTGGCTCTTGGTTCTTGGCATCTTCTTCATGTCTCTAATAGCTAAAGTTAAGACTACTGTTGAATAATCAATTTGAGTCTCTAGGATTGGGCATGAAATGTGAACTGTGTTGTGGTCTTCAATATGTTATCATTTTGTATTAGCTAACCATAATTTTGACATGTGGGAAATGTGCAGGTGCTGCTTTCAATTTGCTCATTGCTGACAGACCCAAACCCAGATGATCCTCTGGTGCCTGAAATTGCTCATATGTACAAGACTGATAGAGTCAAGTATGAGACAACTGCTCGATCTTGGACCCAGAAGTATGCCATGGGATAAGAGCCTGTGATCTGGATTTGAAATATGTGTTATTTAAGGTCTAAAGTAAATAAATAGAAAAAGAACAAAAGATCATGAAGATCGAGAACTTTGGTCAGTTTTGTTCTTTCTCCTTTGTTTCAAGGAGTTTGATCCTGCTTCCTTGTTGAACTTGGATGTGTGCTTCATTTTAGGTGGTCATATATTGGAATAGAGTTTATTTATATGTGGTCTTGCTCTATAAAATGCTTGCATGAGAGAGGTGTGTACATACCATTTTAATTCTACCCATTTTTCTCCGATTGTGTGAATGGCTTGAAATGATGCTTGTGTTTTGTATGAAAAGCTGTTATGAATACCCGTAGGGGTGATGGTTTAAACCAAGATCGATGGGTTTGAGGCGTGGCATACTATTTGTGTATGCTTATCTGCAGAGTTACGGGTGGAATTGTCATCACCTTTAGAAAGATCTTTCTTAGTTGTTATTGTGTTTTTATAGGTTGAGCATTCAACTTCTTATCTATAATATTAGATAGATTTCCAAATGATTTTTTTTTTTCGCTCTTATACTTTCATTTTCGATAAGTGGAATGCCTAAAAAGATGGTGTTTTAATGGTGGAGAAGGGGGTTTATTCTCAGAAAATGCATTTCTTATATCTTGAGACTAATTCACTTATACAATGCTTATGATTGTTGACTTGGCATATAAAAGTCGAACTCGTAGCACTCCAGAGCCAATACATGGCATCCAGCTAACACTTCCCCCAAGCTTGTGACTTGAGAGTATGGGTCTGATAGCTGAGGCAAGGGTTCTGTAGAGTCAAGGTAACAAAAAGACACATTCGACAATTGACAATCGTCACATTAATTTTCTTACAGGATTACACAGGTGTTGCCTGTGAGTGGTGATGTGCCTTGCCTTGAGATGGCCTTGTTCTGTACCCTGCCGGTGGGGAATGTGTTCCTAGGCACCTTTGGAAGGCAGGCCACTCCCTCTCTATAAGGTAAAAAAAATTTGACTTTTGAGTCTTGGGTAAATTACATCCACCTCCCTTGAGGTTTGATCAAATAATAATGAGACCCACTCATATATGAAAAATAACACTGACAATAGAAGTTCCTTCCAAAAAAAACCCAAAATAAAATGAAAAAGAAGATATGAATATTGAGTCTTTTGTTTTTCTCTTCAAAATTCAATCGAAAATATGTAAATATTGTTGTAAGAGTCTTGACAGCTGTAGTGAAGGGTGGTCCATACAATTTCTTACATTTACCCACTGATAATACATTACTCGCATATACCAATGTAGAAGGCCGAGGGGACAGAAGGAACTCCCCGACATGTCCCTATTACACCAACTAATTATTGAATGACTCCAAACAAGGCTTACTGTATGATTTTGATTGTCCCCATTGTTTCTCTTGCCCTTGAACTTGAACCAAAAAACCCATCTTTGACCCTAGATTCTATTGTTGAGATACAGGTTTTCTCTGGTACATTACCTCATTTCCATCCATGGTATTGGTAGGTAAGTAGCGCACATATGGACAACGAATCTCGTTTAAATTTGTTGTAGGTGATTTACTAAGAAAGAAATTAGAGAAAAAAATATATTGAAGATGATCCTACACTCTCTGGAATTTGCTAAATATTGGTGGTAGCAAGTCTTGAGTTGGATTTGTTGAATAAATGGCTTCATTGGCATTCTTAGTGGGTTGATTTTTACGGACATCATGAATCGGATCCGTTTAGTTCGAGTTTTTAAGCTTCAAATTGGTTCATGACTTACAAGGGGTGTAATTTTGGAATGCCAATTTGAATCTGATGATATAAAAAAAAAAATATCAAAAATGAGTTAAAGGATATTTCTATATCCCGTCTAGAACAAGGTTCAATAATAAAGTCTTTCCCCCGACCTCCAGTTGCATACCTAAACACAGGTGTCCAAGTCGTCTAAGTACAACCTCAAGCAAGGATGACCAGGTCGTTCATATCATCTCACGAGGAAAGTTCAGTATTTCTAACTCAAGTTAGGAGCACATTTTGAGCTCTTTTACTCACGAGCTATCCAAAGGAATGAGATGTTGACTCAAGTAGTTTGACTTCTCGCAAACATGGAAGATCATAGCGTATTCAGACTTAGAGAATATAACCTTTAACGGTCAAATATTGTCTCAACAAAATCCTAATAAACTAGAGACCATGTGATGATGACGTCAGGATCACCCCATATATGGGTATAAATAAAAGAGCAATCACCTATGTACGAGAGACCAATTTTAATCTCTACAATTGTAACCTTTATCTTCTTCCCCAAATAATAGAAAACCTCTCAAAGAGCAAGAAATTCTATTATAGTGAATTAACCAAACTTTTCAATTGGTGAATTATTGTAGTCTGTGTGTGTTCTCTCTCATTCTCCAACTCTTACCTCTATTCTACATTTCTTATACTCTCTCCGTTCCTATATATCTGTCATTTTACACAATTTTTTTTGTTCTATAATATCTGTCGTTTAATGAAACCAAATCATAATTAATATTTTTTCTTCTAAATTTTTTCTTAACTTTTCAATGCATTAGATTAGGTGGAGACTAAGTGTTTTTCATATTCCTTTCCTTCCCAATACGTATTGAATAAAAGTATTTTACTCTTGTACAATTATTTTTTACTCATATTAGAGTTATTTAATAGCTTCCTTAATCCCTGTGCAAAAACCTTAAACGACATATATTTAGAAACGGAAGAAGTAACGTTTTACGAAGCCTTTAGGCTTAGCCACGCATCAATCTCTCACATTATTCATATTCACGAGTCACTCTTCCTAAGCCTTAAGCTTCTCAGTTCAAGCAATTGTCTCATGCCTTTGAGTTTTAAACATCACCAGAATCCATCTTCAGTATTTAAACATATGTTTATGTTTTCATGATGCGGAAATTTGGACAATACTTAGGCCTAAGGATTTTGATTTTTAGAGTCCAATTCGAACACAACGTGAATTAGTAAATTCATATACAATTTAAATTTTAGTTCTAAATTGTATTACTTTATAATCAAATCTGAATTAAACTTAATTGAAGATGAATTTCAACTCTTAATTATTTAGTTAATTAAACTTGATTAACTAAATAATTGAAGATGAATTTCAACTCAATTTTATGTGATTTAAAGATAAATAATATTCGAGTTAAAGCTACGATTGAACCAAATTGAAATTTCATTTTTTAGGTAAATTTGAATAGACCTCTTATTGATGATTTAGATTAAATCTATATTAATCTCCTCATTCATACTATAGTTTTGTACTCTTTATTATTAATACTTTTTTTGTGTATGTATGTACATTTTGAATTGAAATTATGAGCTTTTGGGGGTGCACCCACCTTATAAGTTACTCCTTCCGTTCTTAAATATTTGTCATTTAAGATTTTTGTACAGGGATTAAGAAAGTTATTAAATAACTCTAATATGAGTAAAAAATAATTGCACGAGACTAAAATACTCTTATTCAATACGTATTGGGAAGGAAAAAAATGTGAAAGGTATTTAGCCTCTATCAAATCTAATGAATTGAAAAGTTAAGGGTAAATTTGGAAGAAAAAATATTAATTATGTGTTGGTTTCATTAAACGACAGATATTATGGAACAAAAAAAATTGTGTAAAACAACAGATATTTAGGAACGGAGGGAGTACTAGTTATTGTCTGTACCTGAAGGCACAAAGTAATAAAAAATGGTAAACAATAAACATATTTGTATTCATATTTAAAATCAAATTACAAATATAGAGAAGAGATAAATGAATTCAAGTATTGATTTGTAGTAGTGGTCTGCAGTGGTGGTGGTAAGAGACAATGACGATTGTGGTGGGTGACAATGACCGTGGTGGCGACAGCGATGATGGTGGTGGAGGCGACGACGGTGGGGATGGTAGTGATAATGGTAGTGGTGGTAGTAGCGGGGGCGGGGACAGTGGCGGTGGCGTCGACGGTGGTGGGAGCGGTGGTGGAGGCGGCGGCGGAGACAGTGGTGGTGATGGCGGCAGTGACGGCGACATTGTTGGTGGTGGTGGTGTCGGTGGCAGTGGCGGGGTCCCCGACGGTGTTGGTGGTAGAGACAATGGTAGGACAGTTTCAAACACTATTTTTTTAAAGTATTTATGAAAAATAATTTTTAAAAGTACTTTTAAAAAGTTACTCAAAATACACCTTTAGGGACCTATTTTTTCTATTAAATTTAGGGTGTTAATATTAGTTTTTAGATTAATTTTAAAATAAAATTTAAAACGATTTTAATCGGGAATAGAAAAAATTATTTGTTTTATTTTTAAAATTTGAATTATAAATTACTTTATTATATAGATTAATTACTTATGAATGAGAGAGAGAGAGAGAGAGAGAGAGAGAGAGAGAGAGAGAGAGAGAGAGAGAGAGAGAGAGAATGAATGTGGTATGTCACGTATAATACGACACTTACCGTTTGACAACCGTGGGCAAAGTAATTATTTATGAATAGTTAGTTAATTATTGGCCTGAAAATGCATTAAATAGGGACCAGATAGGGAGAGAGAACAAACCTTAAATCTCTGTTTTGTCCTGTTCTCCTTGGACTTAACTACAGTATCAACAATAAAAATTGGGTTAATCTCATTTTGTACCCTGAAAGATTGTTCGAATTTTAATTTATACCCTCAAAGATTAAAAATCTCAATTTATGCCCTTAAAGATAAAAATTTGTATCAATGTGCACCCCCAAAAATCAAAAATCTCAATTTGCACCCTCAAAGATAGAAATTTATATCAATGTGTACCCCAAAGATAAAAAATCTCAATTTACACCCTCAAAGATAGAAATTTGTATCAATGTGCACCTAAAATTAAATTGATAAATTATACCTAAATCCCCTCATATTTGTCAGTTTATCATTTAGACCTCTTCACATTTAGAATATTACTCCTACATCTTATGACATTTGTGCACGTATAACACGTAACCCATTTTCATTGATATCTATTAATATAACCGTTAAAAAATATAATTTTATCTTAATAAAAAATTATAATTTCATATTACCTTTTATTTTATAGGTTCAATATACTATAAAGTTCAAAATCTAGTTTACCATTTGAATGTCTAATAAAATATAAATATTTATATAATATTTTTCATATTACCTTTTATATAAATATCTACATTTTATTAGACATTCAAATGGTAAGCTTGATTTTCAACTTTAGAGTATATCGAATCCACAAAATAAAAAGTAATATAAAATTATAATTTTATATTATGATAAAATCATATTTTTTAACGATTATATTAATATATATCAATAAAAAGTGGTTATGTGTTACACATGTATAAACGTCATGAGATGTAAGGGGAATATTCTAAATGTGAAGGAGTTCAAATGATTAAGTGACAA